CCCCTTCTTCTTCGTTTGCCTCCTTGTTTCCTTCCCTTCGTCAGTTTTCAGGCTGGGTATATTGGTGAATCCGTGCTTGGGCCGCGCATTTCCAAGTCTATATTAAGCCCTTCCTCCTTCCGATGCTTCTTCTCCCTGACTGGTATTTTGCCCCCTTTTGGAGACTTCCATTGCTCGCTTACGAGACTGTCTTGCGTTTCCCCTAGTTGTTGCTGCGTGTTCGACGACTCCTGTATTGCTTGGGCCTGTCTCTTGCGTCCCCTGGCCCCTGTTTCCTTTGCCTGTTCTTTGCTACCCTGCTGTTCCTCCTGTTCCTCCATGTCAGTGCCTTCTGTCTGTGTTTTCCACTTGAGAGACATGGCTAGGCTTGCGCGAGTTCCCCGTTCTCCCTCAGTCCATGCTGCCGTCCTGATGTTCTTCTGTGCTCTCCCCCTTGCCTCCTCCCTTGCTCTGAGATTCTCCATGAAGGCTGCTTCCGCTGTTTGGCCGATCTTGTGCAGCTCCTCCATTGCTTGCATGTTCCATTTGTCATCGAGGAGTGTGCTTTCATCCACCATCGGTTTAATCAGAAACCCAACGGCCTTCTCTTGCATTCTCTTTACCCCAGTCTGCCTCCACCTTCTGTCGTACGACAGATAGATATCTGGTTTTGTGCTTTTTGGTGCGACCTTGCATTCGCGCTAGTGTGTTTAGCATCCTCCTGGCCCTGCCCACTCATGTCCCTTACGCTTGACCTATTCCCTTTCTCCTTTTTTTATTGCTTAAAAGGTCGATGCTGTGGTTAGCCTTCACTGCCGCTCCATTACCCTCCTTTCTCTTTCGCTTCCTGTTCGTTATTTAACACCATATTCACGTGTGTGCTTTTCGTCAACACCCTCTCCTCCCTCTCCCCTTCGCTTCCCTCTCTCCTTTCCGTTTAAGCCCTTTTCCCTGTCGGGCATCCCCCTCTTCGATACAAGTCGTCTGTCATTGATTTCTGAATACTCGCGTGTTATGGATGTCTTGTTGGCGATGGCGGGCCCCCCTCTCACGGTCGCCTCCGTCTCACGACAGCACCCCACCTGTCCCCTTGTGCGTCACAAAGGTCAATGCAATGGCGTCCCCTTGTGCGTCACAAAGGTCAATGCAATGGCAACTCGCCTTCCTCGCTGCCGCTCGACGATGGTTTTCCTCCCACAGCTTTGCGCTCCCCGATGGCAGGGGCGCTATTTTCAAGTGTTAGCGCGTTGAAGAAAAAAAAAGAAAAAGAAGTTGGGACCCTTGTGACATTTTGAATCTTTGACTAAATTCTTTGAACTTCTTTCACATGTCTCTTTATTTCTGTATACCTTTCAGGCTGCATGAAAATGCAATCGTCAAATGCCAATTTTTAATCAAGAAACGTGTTGCTGCCATGTTTAACAGCCCTACTCAACCACTATTTTGTGAAATCGAGGTTTACACCTACATGTAGGTTTTCCCTGACATCTTACCCCTGCCTGTGCATGGCTGTGGGGCAAAACTTAGGCCCGCGAATGCAACATTAATTCAAACTGTCGTACCATGTGATATCAATTGTATTTGTAAATAATGATGACGTTTTGGGGAAACAGCCATTTCACTGCCGTATTTTGAATAGTATAAGGCCTGCCAGGTCTGTGTACCTGATGCAGGACGTGTACGCACCCGTTTGACTTTCCACAGACTTGCACCTTACATTTAGTCTGCTCTCTAGCTAATACTCATTCATTTGCACTGGACGGCCTACAGCGGCTTCATCTGCAAAGAAAGGAGAGGGAAAAAAAAAAAAGAACGCAAAAGCTGTTAGGACTAATAGAAAGCATAATAAAGTTAAATAAAGTTAAATAAAGTTTAAATAAACTGTCCTACCAACCCACATTTTTCTTTGCGCAGTACAACAAAACTCGGCTTAATCCTCCTTGTAGATGGCCTGTTCCAGCTTCGCCCGCCAAATAAATTTTCTTTGAAAAAGTCACGGAGGTGGGGGACGGGAAGGAGGTGCAGTGGAGGAGAGGGAATTGGCGGGGAGGTGGTGGAGGTAAGGCAGGAAGATATCACGAAAATCACCTCTGTATCTGTCTGTCTGTCCGTCTGTGTATATGACTGTCTGTCTGTCTGTCTCTCTCTCTCTCTCACACACACACACAGACACGCACACAGAGCAAGAGCGAGTGAGCGGGCGAGTGAGCGGGAGAGAGAGAGAGAGAGAGAGAGAGAGAGAGAGAGAGAGAGAGAGAGAGAGAGAGAGAGAGAGAGAGAGAGTACCGCTGAAGCCGCCACCCCCCTTTGAATTCCAAACTCTGCCTGATGTCCTTCCTCACTCCGCTGCACGTCTGCCCTCCCTTCCTCCTTCCCCCCGCCACACGTCTACCCTCAGTCCCCTCCTCCCTTGACCACACGCCCTCCCTCCCTCCTTCTTTGCTCCGGCATACATACAACATCGGTTGATCATAAGCATACTATGAAAAGATAGGCACACAGCATACATACAAAATAGCTTGATGAAGGCTTGACCACAAACATGCTCTGAAAACACAGCAAAGAAGAGAGGAACTCAAAACTCATCAGGCAAGCAAACTGCTGAATTCGCAGCAAACAGATCAACGCGAAACACCTTCTCAGAAACGTATTCTCAGATGGCAACTGTGCGACTCGTTGCACACAGCACAAAATACCCAAAACAACAACAACATGCTGTTGCCAATGGGCCTGCACAGTGACAACAGACAAGCGAATGCTGGCAGTCCAACATGCAGCTGACTTGAAAAGGCGCCACAACCGATGAAGCGCTTCAGAAAATACAAAAAATGTGGTGGACTTGGGGGAAGGGCACACGCCCACACACACTTCTCAATTGTATAATACAATTTCAATTGTGTCATATATTAAAACTGTATCCATGTTTTCGCTGTCTTTCCTTCCCCTTTCTTCTTCCTCCTGTGCATCTTCGCATCCTCCTCCTCCTCAACCTCCTCTTCTGTCTATGCTTGCTCGCAGTATCTTTGTGGCCGATTTCTATATACGGCCTCATCTCACACGAGTAGGTCTCCTGCTTTAAGTATGCTTCCACATTCCAGAACACCGAACAGGGAAACATTCCCCCTCGCCCTCTTCCCTTCCTCCCTGCTTGACGCTGCGGCGGCTCCACTTGTTATTGCAATCAGACTCATTCTCATTCACACTTTTCATGCATGTAAACAGCAGCGCAGCAAACTGGCGACATGCGCCCACTCAAATCTCAGAGATATGGCATCCAGATACGAGTTCACTTTCAACTGGCTATGGCGACTCGGCGCCCAAACAACTCACTGTTCACACACACCGGATCACCCTGGATATCCCACACGCGTCACTCTGAACACTCACACATACACACACACACTTCACACTAAACTACAGCTATGGCAGCTATGGCTGCCTCTACCCTATCGCTATGCTACGCTCCTTCTTTCTTGCCCACTTCAGCTCCGGGCTCTCTGCAGACCTCCTTGCACAAGTCGCTGTGGCAGCGCTTCCGCATGGCTCACGCAGGAATGAATGAAAGGCTGGGCACTGCCTCTTGATTTATACTTCTGAAACTCGTTGGTCTGATCTCTTCCATCGGCCCACGGGCCTCACAGTCCCTTGTGGTACTTGCTGGACCAGACTGGGACTGACTGGACCTTACCGCTGACTGAGTGGGGACTCACTGCTAGCCTACCGAGATCGTACTGCAATTGCACTGCAGTTTAGTCCACCACTTGACCACTTGCCCACTGGCCGACCTTCTAGAAGGACTACAGCTAAGACTTCTGGAACTTGCTAAGACTTCTGTTCTACAGATCTACAGATCAAACCCCTACCACCTACGGACCTATGACAGCCTACCAACTGTTTACGAATACACAGGTCACAGGTTCAACTCTCGGGGTCTACACTGGTACTGTACACAGATAGGGCAAGGTCTAGGGATCGAACCCTGGGATCTGCGTCTGCTACTGCACAGAGTTGAAAACCGTTTCACTTATTATTTATTGTTTGAATAAGAGGGGAGGAGAAAAGGAGGATAGTTTGGTTGGCGAGAAGCAGGGGGATTATCATTGGTCTTTGCTGATGTACATCTTCTTCTTCTTCTTCTTCTTTCTTTTCTTCTGCGGTGGACCCCTGTACCTTCGCATGCGGGTGGTCGATGCACACACGAGGGTGCAATGGTGGCCGTAGGGGTCAAAATAGCATTTTTGGAGAAATTAGCTCCGGGTGTTCCCCATGGTTAAATCACGCTGAAGCACGGCGGATTTTGGGATCTCGCCGTCCCCATGCAGAAAGAAAAGAAAAAGTAGAAGCCTTGGACACGAGTTGCTGACCCCTCTGTGGGGGTGGCTGACCCGCGAGCAGGGGTCCTCCTCCCGGGCACTGTGATCCTCAACCCTCGCACACCCCCGCCTCAGCCCCCACTCAGGTGCCACTGCGCACCCCACCCTAGCGAGTTTCGCGATACCCCAAACATCTCAGGAAAAAAGGTACAGGTTGAGATTCTGATCAGCAATGTGAATCCTACCTTCTTTTTTCCTTCTTTAAAAAAGCCACCTTTACTATAAAGTAATTAAAATTATAAAAACGCTAACAACAGCAGGTGGCAGGATTTTTTCAAAAAAAGAAAAAGCAATGGAATCCTAGCTTGCCGAGTATTCACTACTGGCCAGCTCCGTTGGTAATGGTCCTTGCTTCTTTTGTTTTTTTTCCCCCTTTAAAAAAAACTAACTTTTATTATAAAATTAATAAATTATAAAAATGCTAGAAACACAAGGCAGGATTTTCTCAGAAGAAAAGAAAAGAAATGGAATCCTACCTTGCCGAGCATTCGCTACTGGCCAGCTCCGTTGGTAATGGTCCTTGCTTCTTTTGTTTTTTTTCCCCCTTTAAAAAAAACTAACTTTTATTATAAAATTAATAAATTATAAAAATGCTAGAAACACAAGGCAGGATTTTCTCAGAAGAAAAGAAAAGAAATGGAATCCTACCTTGCCGAGCATTCGCTACTGGCCAGCTCCGTTGGCAATGCTCCTTGCTGCAATGTATCAAATGATTCAAATTTCAAATCCCAAGAATGCACAAGTTGCCACAGAAGAACAGTTTTGTCAGTGATTAGTAATTACTAATTTATTTTTTTTTAGTAATTTTACTATTCACTGTGACTATTCAGTGTTCACTGATGAAGCAATAGAGACATGGAAGAGATAGCAATAAGAATATATTATAGATCATGGAAAATTAACAAGAAGAGATGACATGAGTTTTATTACCATGGGGCTATCACCTTCCTCCTGACATCTCCTGGACATAACCACCATCAAGATTCTCAACCCTTCTACTCATAGGCCACAACAGAGACATGCACACTTTTAACGTACGTACAGCGAAAAGTAGAAGGCTGAACTGTAAAACATGCATCATCAAATCCAACCAGAGGTCCATTGCATTCTTGAAGTTTTCTTTCCCCCCTCATATAACGGCTCAGTGCTCGCCCATTGAAATCCGTTCGTTTGATTGGCAGTACGGTTCTGATACGGTTGGGGTCCGTGACCCGTTTGAGGTACAGTAGTAAGGTATTAAAGAGGGATTAGTAGGAATGAGGTCTGCAGTGTGGTTTCTGTGCAATAATACGCCATTTGAGCAGGCTTTTTTTTTTTTTTTTTTTTTTTTTTTTTTTTCCCCTTTGCTAGTCTTTTTTGTATCGTTCCAATTTCAACGGGTGTCTCATTCGTTTGTTTTGCTTTATGCTTTTTAGAAAGGTTCCTAGGATAAAAAAGAAAAAGGAAAAAAGGAAAGGTTCCTAGTGCGAGGACTGAGCCCCCGCAAAGGCGGGGCCCTTCACAGGCGTGCAAAAGTTCTGGGCTCACGCCCCCAGCAAGCCTCATGCCTGCCCTAAGTGCAGGCGGGCCGGCATATCCACGCGAGGCCTATTTTCAACATTTTTTGTATGTGGGGGGTATCCGACAGTTGCCGCACGCCAGTTGGTTACAGCGCAACGTGAACCTTCAGTGGCTACTTCCAGAAGCAACAGCTGTGCTGTACAGTTGGGCCCAGGGCTCAGGTGGTTGCGCGCTGCGCACACTCAGTGAGAGGCCATCACATAGTGGCCGCGGACCGATGAGAAAGCAGCTCCTGCGTCACACACAAGCCGCAAGCCAATGAGATCGTGCCGAACACTTGGAGCCCGGGAGGGCTACCTTGACGTACCTAACTGCACAAGGCCCAGGCCAGTATGTGAGACTGGGCCTGGGCGCAGACACTTTGGGCCAACGTGAAGCTAATGGGCCCCTACACGCCAGGCCCAGAACAGCCAGCGGCAGGGCACACTTTCCATATAGGGAAAGTGAGAGCCCAGGGGCACGACATTCTGGCCTGACTCGGCAATGCGGCTATGCTGCTGCATATGCGCATGAGCAGCTGCGCTAAGCTGCGCTGCGGGTCAGACGCACGCACGGGCGGTGAGATGAGAGGGGCGCTGCTGAGGTAGCGGGCGCACGGCGGCCATAGCCAGGCTGCTGGGGCGTAGGCGCGGTGATGATGATGGTGGTCTTCGGGTAGGAGGCGCGTGCAGAGGGGAGACAGGGTGTGATGAGGGGAGGAGAGAGAAACGTACCTGGTGTATGCTGGCGGTCTGCATTGGCGATGACGTCACGTACATCGGTCTTCAATCCGGTTGCATGAACGTAGGTAGGGTAGATAGGCTGAGTAGTGTAGGCTATGCGCTGGGCGCCAATCAGTAGGAGCAACATTGGATACTATGTTGGTGTGACCACAGAGCGTCGTCATTGACATCCGAGTTCATTGTACTGCTCTTATTTGGATGGTATCTTGGTGCATTGTGCTCTCTGATTGGTAAATGATTATCTGGACTACTTTGTGATTTCGCAATTTGGATTTCTGTCTATCGCTCTCACTCGTATTCCTTGCACTAGGATTGAAAAAAAAAGAACTCCCTGGGCCATAGCGCAGGTGCAGCTCTGTGAGGTTTAGAACTCTACATTGTGTTGACATTGGGATGCTGGACCCGATTTCCAGCAGGTGCAGATCCCCACCTGTACAAAGGAGCCAACTCTGATTCAAGAAGAAAAGGAAAGAAATGCCAACCCCCCCCCCCCCTTGAGTGAGCGGCAAGAGCTACAAGGGTGGCCAACACTTTTCCTCTGGATCAATTTTCTATCTTTCTGTATAAACACGCTTGCCGGTGATAGGCAAGCAGACTGACGCCCCCCAGAATAGTAGGGGCACGCGCATCTTGATTTGATTTGATTTGATTTGATTTGATTTGATTTGATTAGATTCGATTTGATTAGAAGAAGAAGAAGAAGAAGAAGAAGAAGAAGAAGAAGAAGAAGAAGAAGGAGGAGGAGGAGGAGGAGGAGGAGGAGGAGGAGGAGGAGGAGAAAAAGAAAGAAGAAGTAGGAGAAGAAGAAGAAGAAAGAAGAAAGAAGAAGAAAGAAGAAGAAGAAGAAGACGAAGAAGAAGAAGAAGAAGAAGAAGAAGAAGAAGAAGAAGAAGAAGAAGAAGAAGACGGAGACGAAGAAGAAGACGAAGAAGAAGACGAAGAAGAAGACGAAGACGAAGACGAAGACGAAGAAGAAGAAGAAGAAGAAGAAGAAGAAGAAGAAGAAGAAGAAGAAGAAGAAGAAGGAAATCCATTGCATTCCGATATTTTTTACCCAGGGGCCAGAACATTACCTGCTGGTTCACGAGACCTCCACCGAACACGGCGAACAGTACATAATGACAAGTTCCATAACATAACATTTGACATGCACGATTCGCAGATATGCCTCTGGGCGACCGCCTTGGGGACATCTTAGATGCTACCTTTGCCACCCGCTGCTTGCCCAAGCAGATCGCTAGATGCTACCCCAAGCAAAGTTCCCCCCGCTGCTTGCCCGCCTTCTACAGTCACATACAGAAGACACGTATCAAAAGACGGAGGCCTGCCACTGAAGCAGTGGAGACTACTATCCACGCATAGCCTGCAGACAGTGCAGAGTCCTGAGGAACAACTTTCAAGAGTTTGGGGAAAAGGGAGTAAAAGGGGTAAAAGCCAGAGGAAATCGGGCGAATGGAACAAAGCCATCACCACAACTCCTGGCTCAGCAGTCATCGGCAGTCACGGCGATCGCCTTGGGGACATCTTAGTCACAAGCTCACATTATTTACGTTATATGGTCAGTGAATCGCTCCCTGCCAGAAGTAATCCTGCTGTTTGTCCCAGAGGTTGTTCCTGGGCCCCCCTCACTACTTTGGCTAGGAAGACTGCTGACGGGGTCTGGACAAGACTGGCCCGTGTCATAAACGCTACTTGGTTGGTGTGAAGTACACGAAAATGCCATGGACGGTATTGATCCATATGCACGATCTCTTCCAGCAAGAGAGCCGCTAGGCGGAGTAGGTTCAATGTTTTTGTTTTTGTTTTTCATTTGATTCTTTCCCCTCTTTCATCGACCTACTTGGTCGGTGTGAAATACACGAAAATGCCATGGACGGCATTCACCCATACGCACAATCTCTTCCAGCAAGAGAGCCGCTACGCGGAGTAGGTTCAAGCTTTTTCTTTTTCTTTTTATTCTTTCCTTTTTCCTCCTTTATGTATTCTCTGCAGCTCTGGCAAAGTGTGCTTTTGGGGATACTGGGGAAGTCGATCAACCAAGTTGGTCGTACTTTGACTTGGAAAGAATTTGAATTCAAGTCGGCTTCAAATTTTGACGAGTTAGGTAGGTAATCGTCCAGATCGTCCATCGACGTGGCAGGTGAACTGCAAAATAGGCAGAGGGATAAACTCATGGGAACGGGCTTCTGCAGCACGGGACTGGGAAGTTTAGGTCGACTAGGAAATCTATGTAGTCAGGGGAATGAGAGGCTTAGGTCTCCCCCTCGAAAACAGAAGCAAGCTTTGCACCGTCTGATGATCTGGCTGGCGGGCCAGTGAAATGTGACAAGGATAATACCGTCTTGTTTTCAGGAAAAATAAATAAATAAATTAAGGCGTAAAAAAAGTTGAAAACTGGGCTGACTGACCCCTTGGGCCCTTGATAAAGGAAAGCTCCAGCTTACCAGTCAGATGGGGCAGCAGTTCAAACCCTGATGGCTCTGCAGAAAACCAAAACCAAGAGGATCACAAAGTGCAACAAAGTTGAGTGAAAAAGTTCAAGAAACTCAGTTTAGGACCCCTTAGGTACATAACCAAATCAGCAACAGGCAGATTTCCCCAGACAGCAACAAGCAGTTCCCATCCCGACAAAGGTGTGCACTTTTCAGCCTTTCTTTTCTTCTTCGTTTTTTTTTCTTGTTTCTTTTTTTTGACAAAGCAGATATGCTCATGGTATGAGAGTCAGCTTTCATTTCAGCATTACTTATTTTGATTGCAGGTTCTGTGATTCATGCATTTAACCGGCAATGGTTGCAGCTGTAGAGACACAAGAGGCCATCTGTCAAGTCAGGAAGAACCCAAGAGGAGCTTCCCAGTAAATGGCTGATGAAGAACACGGGTAAAGTCAAAAAGCCATTGACTTAAGATCGCTCGACCATAGCAGGGGGAGGGAAGGATGGAGCGTGTGGGTAATCTCTGTAAGGGACGCTGGACCTGGTTTTCAGCAAATAATAGAAAAGACATTCAAGTTGTCAACAACAAAAAAAAAGGAAAAAAAAAGAAGTACGATGTCTGTCAAGTCAAAATGATTAGTGTGAGCTGACTGACTTCAGAGGTAGTTCTACAACGTGTGATGAGCGCATAGCAAGGGGATATCGTATCTGGACGTCTGAATTTTGCGTACAGATCTTATCCCAAACCCTACCTTCTTTCCCCGAATACAACCTATGGTCATTATAACTGCATTTGAGGCATCTTTCAGTCTAGAATCTAGATACAGCTATAATGACCATACATTGTATTCAGGGGAAGAAGGTAGTCTGTGGGGCCGGCCAGTGCTGCTTGTCTGGAGTTTGTTAGAAACCGTAACGTATGCATAGCACCAGATGGGGCTGCCCCTAAAACATGGGAGTAGCCTTTGACGTGTCGCAATAAGACCAGGCTTGAACTCGTAATCTGTACATCAAGAGTTCGAGGTTCGCATCATCCTGGCACCTGGCAGGGGCCTACGCCTGGTTCTCAACACCCATGGTTCCCTTACATTCCCAGTGCAAAAAGGCAGTGTCAGAGAAACTAATTTCGAATGGCTGAGACGCCGGCGAAGGAATTCCTAACCACAGTTAAACAGGATCTAATGGCATGAGAATCATGATGAGATGCTTTTTAACTGTGGTCAGTGTGGTGCAGTGTGG